CAAAATCTGTCTTGTCTGAAAACAAGGGCTTTCTCTGTCTGGATGTAGCTCCAAGACTGGAGCCTATATATGTACATGCTAACAACTTAGTATGTGAGCTTTGCACAAAGAGTATTAAAAATATTTTAATTGGTTAGTTAGCTAGACACTCTATACGGTTAGACTTTCCTAGGTCTACAGACATAGCACAAAAAGAGTTGCTGTGTATTCCACACACATTAGAACCCATTGTTGCAAGGCTTGTATTTCATTTCAAAAGATCACAGAAAATCATATTTTCTTTTAAGACAGACAAGAGAATGCTTAGTGGCAGAGCTACTTGAAGAAGGCAGGGTTTAGGATCCTGACTTCTTGAATATACACAGTTGGCCAGGACCACAGTCCCGATCCGCTAATGAAGGCTGGATTTCCCTTCTCTAATCAGTACTCTCGATGACTGTAGCACACACTGCTTTTATTCTTCAGGGGCAGCTCCTCTCTCAACCAAGGTGAGATCTGCATAGGAAGGGCTTGATCCACCATTACTAAAGTTGTGTTTTAACTGTGTGGGCACAGCATCTGACTCAGCATGCACAAAATGTGTGATCAAAGTGAGGGAGAATTTCTGATTATAATCTCCTGCTGGGAAAAGGCAGATATATGTGCTATCACCCTGAAGAAAGTCAGTCCAGAGCAGCAAAAAACTTGGAGAGATTTCCCATCCAAGTCATCCACAAGATTTAGGATAGCTGACCAGTAACTATTACTATGTAAGAAGGGAAAATGGGAGTGAACTTTGGACTAGTTAAATAAAAATGCCACAAATGAAAATTTATAGACAAAGTTAACAGGAGTTCTGGGGGCTTCCATTACTGACATAAACTGAAGAGAAATACCCTCTTAGCAAACCAAAATGCCGTGTTAGTTACAGTGAGATCCACAAACAATCTTTTTACTATTACTTGTACTAAACTCCTTCATATTCTTGCACACCCAAGCTGAAAAAGAAACAGCCCTTCTAACAAATGGCTTCATTTAAGGCCTCTCTCAAAATGTACACATTCATATATTTTTGTCATCAATTAAAACAAAGGGCCCAGAAGAGCAATTATTTACTGCTGGGCATTATGAGAAATATCTCTGAATCACATTATTTTCAATAGTGAAAACTATAAGCACATGAATGAAATCGCATTCTTTTAATAACAATACTGCCTTTTAAAGGACATTTTGCACTCGCCCAGAGATATATGGAATCCTGAGTACAGATACATGCAAACCCCAACACTTAGTCAAGAATCTGCTTTTGTTTTTCTGCTGGTTGTTAATTATTCTGGGGCAAACTGAAACGATTTCATCTGTATTGATTCTGTATAAAACTCACTCCTGTGCACAGAAACAAGCACACAGTTTTATACCATACAAGACTTCAAAATAACGACAATATATAAACTGCCACATGGCATGAAACCTAAGGCCAACACCTCCGGTACTGGGTCTCTGAGAGAGGCAGGACCAGGTGTTTCAGAGGAGGTTTAAGTGAAACGCAATTATTAATTGTGTCATTGGTTTATTTTATTCTAGCTTTTCTACCTTTTGGTTTGTAGTTTGTTAGTGAACAGATCTCTGTATGTATCTGAAACCTGAGCGGAGAGTGATTAGCTGAATCCCGTGGTTTTGTTCAAGCATAACACGCAACCAGATTTCCTGTGTGAAAACTGTGAATCCAATTTTCACTCCCAATGACTGTTCCTTATAATGTGCTCTGTGTCTGCCAGTAACTTGATGTGCTAGAATAGTCCTAACTTGCTAAAATTTGGAGTACAAAAAACTTCTGAACCAACTTTCATGCCAGTTACCAGAGCTCTTCTGGCATATACTTTAAAGATTTTTTTTCCCCAAAAAATAGCTATTTAGAGCTTTTAATATTTCATATAGACCCCAAATTCACTCCTTGTAATGAAAACATAAGGTACCACCAGTACTCAAAAAGTGCATGAAATGTAGATTTAAAATGAAAGAACTAAAAATGATAATTTTCATGTTGCATTTTCTATGTCCATATAGAAAATGTCTGGTCCACAATCTGTGTACTGCACAGAAACTGTATACTAATAATACACCCATACTTTTAGCAGGCTCTCAATGCCTCTGAGAATACCAGTAGGGTTGCAAACTTTAAAATACAGCTTTTTGTCAGAGAACTAATTATTGTAAGAATTGTTGTTGACCATATCTACAGAAAATTCCATTATTGCACAGTATTGCAATAGTAACCCAATGCCTCAGTCACTAGGCAATCGTTCAGGCTCACAGCATCCTACCCCGCAAATACCAAGAGAATAGGGGACTCATGAAAACCACAAATAATCTTGAAAATACTTTGATTCATGTTTTAAGTCAGTAGAGCGATTGTGAAAGGTGCCAAATCAGCTCCTATTTCATTACCAGTAGAAAAGATCAGCACTGTCCTCCACGTTGAGCTGCTTATCATCACCTGTATTGAGCCAAACCTCTTACCTCATCACAGACATGTTCATAAACCAGGATTCAATTAATTCATGGAAATGTGCAGAATGCATACAAAGACATATTATGTCCATGGAGCAGAAGTATCTGCTGTAGCTCATTTTTTCCTACTTCATGAAGGCTACAATCATCACCATTAAGGACAAAAAACTCCATAAATGAACCCAGTAAGGAGAGCAAACAGTTTGTAACTACAAAACTTCTTTTGGGGGTCTAATCTCTGCCTTTGGACTGGTTTTCTTAAAAAATGTCATTGACTGACAGACATATTTTATCCAGAAACGTAGACTAGGCAATCTTTGGGAGTGGGGGGCCAGAGTAAGAGGGTATGGAAGGTACAGGGAAGAGGTGGGATAAAATAGTTTATTCACCAAAAATGCAGTTTAGATGATCCAGATGAATTTGACTTCATTCTTCTAATAAGAGAAAATTATTTGTTCTGTTAAAGATAGGTTTGGAGAAATCTTACTGAATTATATTGATTTTTGTTTCAGAAAAATGATTAATGATACTTAAAGAAACAAAGACTGTTAAAAAAATGAAATTAAATGTTATTTGAGCCACAATGATTTCTTTTCTCAGATTTCTCATACTGATGAATAAACCAATTATTATTCCAAATCAATCTAAACATTACAATTTCATTACAATTTCTATCTGAAAGGCAAGTGACATGACAAGCTCTTCAGGAGACACTTTGATATAAGAAGAAGAACAGAGATTGTCAACAGCCATCTTTTTGCTAGAGCTGTTAAAATTATATTATTAACAGATTTATTTATTGTTGATAATCATATCTTGCAATGTTTTGTATTGTTGATAATCATTTCTTGCAATGTTTTGAACAAAATACCATAAAAAAATTTCAACCCTGAGTAATGAACCTTGGAGGAATGACTAATTTGGACATGTCGAAGATCCAGAAAAAGAGGGCCCAGATTTGGAAAAAAAAAAATGCTTATTTTGTTCCTTGATCATTTGTCCCTTGTCACCAAACTTTTAATATGAAATGCTTTTGAGAAGTCCTCAGGATTAACATTGGAAATCACTAGGTGTTTTTTAATCCAAGATTTCCCTCCCTGTTTGCAAGACTTATTGCAGACTAATTTTCAAAATCCAGGAATATCAAACTAGGGCAACCCAAGACAGCACTAGCTGAAGTCCACATCTGTTTTTTAAAGGAAATAAAGGTATTGGGAACAGTGGGTTTGAAACGAATTTTCAGGAGAAGATCCAAAGGGAAGAAATTTCTCCTTGGTGAACTGAGATCGAGAAAGCTTTCTAGGTGTTGGCAGCACCATGGAAAAACCCCATGATAAGAAGTTAGAATGATGAGAAGATGGTAAGAGACCACCTCATCTGAAATAAAGATGAGGTTAACAGTACTGATAAAGTGTTAGAGCTATGGAACATTTCAACATGAAACATAGGACTTATAGGAACACCATGTTCTTATTTACTATTTTGTCTGTATTTAGTTCTTTTAACCAGGGCTAAGATGAGTCCATTTGAAAAGCACAGGAAGTTTAAATCTAAGGCAAACCATATCTGTATACTGTGAACAAAATATTCCATACAAAATAGTATCTTTAATTCATTTTGTCCACCCTTCTCTCTCCCAACAAGGTATTGCATCACTCTATAAGAAGCATCAAAAAATGATCGAATGGGGTGTAGGCAATGTTAAAGCTCTACTGCATGCAAATTACATTGCCCAAGTCCCTCATTAAAACCCATAACAACAAAAGAGATGGCCAAAAAAGTGTTTTCTGCAAACTGTACCTACAGCATACAACAACAGCCAATCAAACTGGAATTCCACAGGTAAAGCATACAAGCCAGCCTACCAACCTATGCACAGTAAGATTGACCTATGCACAGTAAGATTGTAAATTGGTGCTTTCCTTGATTTTTTGGTACCCAGCAAACCAGCTCATTAGCTGCACTTTCATTCATTTCATAATTGCATTTTATTAATTTCAGATCTAGAGAAATGGTGTTTATAAATTTCTAAAGCCATCTACACTTCCCAACAGCCACTCTAGTGGTGCTGTGTCATTCCTGAGGTGTTAAAACACCATCTCTGGAGTTGTCATCAGACAATCCTGTTTGCAATGCTGATATCCTGGTATGTAGAGGGAGACTGATAGCACCCAGCAAAGAAAAAAAAGCTCAACTTGTAAGGCTTTGAAAAATACAAATATCAACACAAAGCATGAGGAAACTGGACAACAAAAGAAAAGAAGAAGGGAGAGAAAGAATAAAATTAAGCACATCTGGAAAATAAATTTTGTTTCTAATTGAAAATTATAGAACTCTGGAAATTGCAACAGATTTTTTAAATTAGAAACTGACAACAGTGTTTTGAACATATTTATAATAGATTTTGCAATTATTTTCCAACAATGCAGAACGTCAATCTCTCAGAATTAGTTGCCTAATGTCTGGAAAACTTTTTTATGAAAAAACTGTGACTATGCATATTTGCTTACCTGGTCAGTTAAACAAAATTCACTGGCCTGAGCAGAATGCATTGTAAAAGAAATCTGTAAAACAAATAAGTAATAATGAGTGGTTACTATTATATAGAAATTGCAAGCATGAAAATCATACTAAACAAAAAGCCTCTTAAAATCTGTTAGGTCACTGTTTTCCCAAAAGAGTCCTGACTGTGTGGCAGGATTACATTTATAAACAATAGTACTAAAACCAACAGACATACTATACCCTGCTATTCAAAAAGGATTAAAGGTATCTGTTATGTAGTTGGTATCAACTTTTGTGTCTTTTTATTCAAACACAAATGTATGGCTATCATTATTTCCCTAAAGGATACTCAGATTTATATGTCTATCTGGTAAAAAAAAGCATGTATTTCTCATTAAATGTTCTTCAGGGCACTTGAATACACAGACTTCACTTACTTTCTTTAACATTTCACATAAACACAGTGTGAAAAGAACATTATTAAGGCTGTAATGTGATTAACATAAGTATCGGAAAAGGCCAAATGTTAGCCTGCCTGTGCAACTTTTATTTCTTCAATGAGTATGGAATATGCTACAGTTGCTAATTGCTTCGTCACATAGCATTCTTCCATGGGAACTCCTCTTCATTCCTTGTACAAACAGACATTCAAAAAGTTCAAACACTGATATTTTGTGTTCATTTCATTGCTTAACATGTGGACTGGAGGGACATTCATGGAGTAGTAGTCAAATCCTGATAGAAAAACTGCAGTATTTTGCTATGGTCCATACACTCTAATCATGATTGCTTTGACTGCATTGCAAACACTGCGCAGCTCAAGTTCAGCAAATTCTTTTGGAGGAATAACATTGCTCCAGATGAGTTCCCTGGTGCTGAGAGATTAAGCTGAAAAGTGAATACTTAATTTGGGTGACACGGGCTCAGTTTTTTCAGAGGACCCAGCATTACACAGCACTTTATACATTCAAGGTACTGCTCACAACGATTTCAGTTGGAGACATAAATACCAAGCGCATTGCAAATTAGGTGACAAACAGGTTACAAAAATAGGGAACACGCAATTGCTGACCATCTCTGAAAACTTGATGCGATGCACTTCACACCTTGATATGTGAACTCTGCGGTAAATCAGAGGACTGAATTTTATTCTCCAGGGCTTTAATCAACTTTGTCGTGAGACTCTTTTTCTTGTCCTGAGATGGTCTCAGTCACCAGATACTTTTCACTTTCTGTTTCTGAACAAGACTCTCCCTTACTACAAACCAAATTCACCCTCACAGATGGCCCATCCGCTCACTGTCTGGATCAAGGACAGTATGAAAAAGAAGTGTGTTACCAAGTAAGGAAAGATTCCCACAGTGCATTTGCAGAGGATGGTTACGTCAAGCTGCACAAGCTACACTAGTACTATTTGACTTTACCACTTTGCCACTTCCATAATGTTATAACACAGGTTTTCTTGATAAATAAATGTCTATTCAGGGTGTTGGGAATGCATAAAATCTTCAGAAATTCTGTTAGGAAGCACAATAGCTGCCAACCACAACCACCAGCCCCAGTGCTGGAATGTGTAGATGGTCCTCCTTGAGGTCAGGGAATAACTGACAGCATACCATCCTTTCTGCAAACCGGTATGACAGAAGGGTCATTTGGTAGTGTTTCACTAAATACTTGTTGACAGCAAGGAAACTGACTAAAGAAACATAGTTTCAATCCTGGACTCCGGAAATTAAGTCTTATAATGGGAAGTGTCATACAATGTCAATGAAAGACTCTTGAAAAAGACTATGATAAGACAGAAAGACAGTTCTATCCCCTCTCTTCCATTCACTGAGACAGCAGTTTCTGGCATATGGAACATCATTCCGTATATGAGTATTGGCCAATGTGCCTTGCATTTTTCATTAAAAGGGAAACCAGTGACCATGATGCTGAGAATTTTGGAGTGGACCAATAAACAGCAACGAGGAAGGGTACAGACAAACTGCAAACCCTGGCAGATCAGCCTAATTATCTGCAAACCCTAGAGTGTATGCTGCTAATAAAATATAGTTTCCTCTTGGTTACATTAGCATTCTTCTGATGTAACCAGACTAGGTTATCTTAATTTATAAACCGGGATTTGGGTAAAGCAAATTTGAGCTGAAAGAGTCATATCCTCGCCATTTCCTTAGCCACCTGCCTGTTTGTGACTTTTGAGAACTTCTGTCTCATTTCAGAAAGATTTATCATGAGACTTATCCTCTCAGTCCAAACTACAGTCCTGTTACTGGGTTTGCTCCACCGGACTGATGCAACTGTGCAGGTCACTGTAGATAAAACAGTTTCTCTGCTCAGATCTAATAGCAGGAAACTTTTCAGCGGTTTAACAGCAAGAGAGTTTGAGCAAATGCAAAAACACTGAAAAGGTGACTGATGATAGGATAAAGGATAAACTGAACAGCGGTCACTGTGCTTTTGTAAGATTTCCTGTACATAATCCTTTACTCTGAGGTTCTACACAGAACAGAAGTGGAAGGAGTTTTACTAGGGGAAAAAAAAAAAGAAAAAAGAAAACAGAAAACATAATCAGAACCCGTACTGCTATGCAATCAGTTGGACAAACAGTCCAAATGTGTTCAGAACAGCGAGAAATTCAGGAGACTGCCTGTCTCTCCATGTTTAACTAAAGCCATGTTTGCCTGAGAAAGACTACCACTTTGTGCACTTAAAGTCAACAGTCTCGCCGATGACTGTTCATCTACCTTTTCCTGACAGTATTGTAAAGGAAGCTTTGGATTTGAACTCCAGCCACACCAGTTATGTCCCACCATCCTCAATCACTCATGGTTAGACTCCAGAACCGAGCACATCAGAGATGGTCCTGATGGTTACATTTGTTTAGCATTGGAGAACAAACCATCTTTCCCTGTTAGACTTTTGGGTAGCCTTTCAGTAACAACACGGTATGCATGAAAACTAGCAAGAGTAAGTGGGTTAATGACAGACCAGATGCAATTTGCTTATCTTGGCCACATCTCAAAGCTGTGATGGACACCCATCCCTGCTGATGCAGGCATTGCTGCCAGCACTCCTGTACCAGCCAAAAGCTCTGAACATATGACTCCACTCTGGGAAAAAAGGCACATTTTGCATCAGCAGCTCCACATCCTTCAGTAATTATGTCACAGCCTCTTTCAGAACAAAAAATATTGTTCACCCTCCTTAGTCCACTTATCTCTGTATTGCTAAGAGAAAGTAACTTGGATTCTTTACCTTCTAGTGAATCACAAACAAATTGTTATCCCCACTCTCACTGGAGGAACAGGCATCATGACGAGTCTGATGGGGGAAGACAGGACTTTTTTACCTGTGATAAAGTCCAAGCAGGAAATGAGGCAAGTTTCCCTTCTAGTTTGCAGAGTCTGCAGACACAGTCACCAACTTCTTATTTTCAAACCGAGCACATATGGTATGATATAAAAAGCATCAAGGTACTGAGACAATTATCATGCAACTCTAAAGATACAATTTTTACAGTCGCTTTTCAGAGAACAGTGTTGTTATTCTCTTTTCATCCTTTAAATATTTAATAGCAATCCTATTTTATGTGTATTAATTCTAAGTCACTTATAACGAGATTTGCAAAGGTATTGATTTCAATGGGAGTTAAGGGCTAAATATCTTTATATGGAGCCACAGCCTTCATCCTATTAAATCTCTACATTTATTGTCTGCACACAAATCATTATAAAGCAGGCATTATTCAAGAAAGAACTCAATAGCAAGAGAAAAGCCCAATTAACAAGGAATTCAATGCAATTATGGAAGTTTGGAAGTTGCCTGGGGTTGTGTTTGCCTGCAAATCATTGGGGAAAGATGAAAAGGGAAGAGTTTGTTTCATCCCCACTTCCAAAGTGTTATTTTCACTTCAGCTTTATATTTTTACTTTTTAAAACCTGAAGTATTTGGACTTCTATGAAGTCACAGGTTAGGAACAAAGATGCCATTAACTGGGTTTCTGGGGGATCTTTATTTTGCCACACTATCATCAGTGCTGGGGTTAGCCCTATCAATAGCTAAAAGCAACAGACTGGGGTTCTTGTCCATAGCTCTTGGATGTTTGTAGATAATTAAAGTGGCTTTTCTGACCCTAGTCTTGTAGACGTTAAAGTCAGGTCAGCACAAATAATGCTGGAATGTACATTTTAATGCCTAAACTTCTTTCCTCCAATTCCACACCCATTTGTGTGAAACAAGGAAAAGAAATAAGAACTGAGGACCAACAGATATGGACACTAGCTAATTAAAGTAAGGATTTTTTAAAGTACTAAAACCTGTTTTATTTTATTATTATGAACTCAAGTCTTTCCATAAAAAATGGCACTGTAAATCCTCCAGCTAACAACGTAAAGTCAACAGATAAAAGAAATCTATCAGTCTATATGCCTGCCTAAGGGGCACCGAAAAAGTTGGGGAGACAGGGAGAATCACAGTTGAACAGCTTTGTGATAGCATCAAGGCATTTCAGGACAGCATATATTTCATTGCACAGCGTTTTTATGGCTTTTTTAAGTATAATGCTGTGATGGGCTTCATATACCTTCTCACACCAGCAAAATACTTGGCTGTTACAAACACAACGATGAATGTGTCCAGTGAACTTTGAGAGCTGCAAATTCCTGCCTTCCAGTGTGCAACAGTTTTTACCCCCGTGTCAGCTACCCACAGCTCTCTGGCTTGGAATCAGGTTTCCGTTCTCAAGGTGGATTCAGATATATCATGATACATCACTCTGGTGGGGGTGGAGAAGTTTATTTTCTCAGTTTTTATCCCTAACACTTTCCTAGAAAGCAATCAGTTGAGCCAAACAAGGGATCCCAGGGCGACCCCAATGTTCCTAAGACACTGATGACTCTAGTCAGCAGGCAGTGACACAAGGCAGAGATACTGCTTTCTCCAACTCAGACCTCCTGGGAGGGATAGCTGCCCGTACAGACACTGCCAAGGCCGAAGGAAAGATCCACAGTTTGAGATGGACTGGCTGTCCTAATTAATGCTCCCGTGAAATAGAAAC